GCCCCCCCCCCCCCCCTAATAAGGAAACCTCGGTCGCATTTTTTTTAATAGGGGGTCCCTGAAATCGGGGTGTCCAAAATAGGGTCACCTGGAAAGAGTTTCAAAACCAAAAAGTAATCCAGGAAAATTTTATATAAAATCCTTTATTAAACTCATATCAAAAATGCAAAAAACCGCCAGATCGAAGGGTCTTCCTTTTCCCCTACAAAAACCTTCATTAGAATAGTGATTCTTCAGTAGACTAACAGCTAAAGCTTTCGAAAGGTGATGTCGCTGTGCCATGCGGTGTTGCATGACCTCGGTGGCAAGTGCGTTTGCGTGAGTCCGTGCCATTGAGGGAAGGAAAGCCTGCTGGTGTAAGCGCGGCGTGTCATGGTGGAGTTTTGGGGAACCTAATAAAAAAAACTACCCCCAAAATCGACCATGTTGGTAGTTTAGTAGCGGTTTGAAAGGGCGGCAATTTAAAACCAAATATAAACCGAATTTAGGGGATCCGGCATGACTTTTTTTTAATTGGGGTCCGTTTTTTAATAGGTACTCGGGATTAATAAAGATGATGACCTGATGATGAAAGGGAATTTGATTCGGAAGAATTGGAATGCAAGGGAATTAGTATTTGGAAGAATTGGGCTGAAAGGGAATTAGTATTTGGAAGAATTGAGATGAAAGGGAATTAGTATTTGGAAGAATTGAGCTGAAAGGGAATTAGTATTTGGAAGAGTTGGGATGAAAGGGAATGAGTATTTGGAAGAATTGAGATGAAAGGGAATTGGTATTTGGAAGAATTGGGATGCAAGGGAATGAGTATTTGGAAGAATTGAGATGAAATGGAATTAGTATTTGGAAGAATTGAGATGAAAGGGACTGAGTATTTGGAAGAATTGAGATGAACGGGAATGAGTATTTGGAAGAGTTGGGATGAAAGGGTTGGAAGAGATGGAAACCACATGAGAACTTTTGGAAAACAAGATGGAGGCCAGAGGGCGGGCTTGATTAATAGGGGGGAGGGGTCCCTACTATTAGGGGGTGGTAGGGCCTGTGTGAGGGGTACCCTTTGTGAGCTTGAAAACCTTAAGATGCTGATAGAGCTTTAATGAGAGAAAATGAAAGAATTTTGCTAGAGAGTTTTGGGGTTTTGGGGGATGGTTGGCTGCACAGATTGCTGCTGGGAAGGATGAGAAGAGCAAGCAGAGTTATCAGAAATGCTTGATGAATGAGAGGGTCAGCATGGGAAAAGGGTGGATAAATTATACCTAAAAACATATTTGAATACTAAAAAAGGAAAACTAAATAAATATATATAAAACAAATTACATTCTTTTTGTGGAGCTGGGCCGGCTTGATTAATAGGGGGGGTGGAAGTCATTATTAGAGGGAGGTTTGCAGAGGTAATTTTAGTTTATTATTGGAGGCTCCAGCTGGGCTTGATTAATAGAGGGGGCTTCCTTAATCCTGTGTTGACATTAGAGTCCTAAAGTGTGTATTCAATTGGAATGCCTGCCATACATCTTGCAGCTCAGAATGGACACGTCGGCATACCGTCTTTTCCTTGGAGGTCTGGGTTGAAGACCCATCACTGTCGGATGTAGCGGTGTGAAAAACAAGCGTTGTGCCACAGTGCCACCTCTACGGTGCAAAGCAGGCAATCAGAGTGCCCCTCGGTACGGGCCACCCGCAGTTGCTTCTATTGCAATCTATTGCACATGGGGTGCACAATGATGCCATCCATGTCATCCTGAGATATATCCTGAGCATGTGTGATTTGTGGCCCTTGGCAGGGCACGATCTTTGTTGCCCAGACATTCCGGGTCTTTTTTGGCGCTGAAGTGACTGCGTGACTGCGTGCACGCTGCTGAAATAAAATCAGCGGAAAGCTTTTCAACATGCTGAAGCTGAAAGGATTTCAGGATACTTGAGCTGATCGTCTAAACTTAGGCATATCATAACGTGCTGTGCGGGCAACCAGAACAGCGCGTTCTGCCGTCCAGAACAGCGGCATAGTCATGTGGCGGTTCATGCACGGTGTGCTTTAGCGCTTTGCTGATCCTGTGAGGTGCCTGGACGAGCATGCGAGCTTAGGAGGCACCGGTTGGCCCCCCCCAAACCATCCAAATCCACGTGTAACTATACAGAGTTGGAGCATCCCCAACTCAGGGGGTACCATCAACATCCAACAACTGTAGTTCAGCATCAGATCCTAGGTCAGATTGAGCGCTTGCCTACCCAGTCAGTGGGTAACCTTTTAACCGGGCTGGTTTCCCCCCAAGCAAGAACAGGAAAAGGTTAACCAGGTAACCAATATGAGAAACTGAGGGAGTCGGCGGAAAGCCTCTACTTAGCATGGTGAAATGGGTGAGGTCCACTCAGCTGCTCAGAAAACTTTGAATGGAAGAGGTATTTTTTGCCGCTCCGCAACCAAGGCTCTCGTAAGATCCACCTTTCTAATTCCAGGCTTTCGGAAAAGAGTGCAGGTGTGAAGCTGGGCAGAATATGGCCCTGGCCATTGAGTTGTGAAGCGGTCCCTTCTCCCGCTCGAACTTGCAAGGGTTCCTGCTCTAAGGAAAAATCG